TTTGTAGACTATTTTATTAGTTTTTAAAATATTGTATATTTTGTTGATTTTTTTGTATAGAGATCTCACATGTTTTCTCAATAGTTTCCACTTGATATCGTTTTTTTTATCTCTCCAGGTCGCAACTAGGTGTAGGGAGAGGCTTCACAAACTGGTGCAAGAAGAACTGAATTCGGAAGGAGAAGAAGAATGGAAAAAGACTATGGAGCGTAGCTTCACACGCATGGATAGAGAGGTTGTGTTACCGAGTGAGACGGTCGTGAGCGCAGATTGCAAATGCGAGCTTCAAACGCCGAATTGTGAATCAGTCGGATCAACCGCAGTTGTGTCGATCATTACGCCGGATAAGATCGTCGTCGCTAATTGCGGCGATTCTAGAGCAGTTCTCTGCCGGAACGGAAAACCAGTTCCTCTATCCACCGATCACAAGGTCAGTCACCAGAAAACAACTTTAATATGTTCTGTATTTTTATGAAAATTTAGTTGTTTATTCATTTCAAATAAGAAATGATAGGAATTTTGAGTTGACTCGAAGATTGTGTTCTTTGTTTGAAACACAGCCAGATCGTCCAGATGAATTGGATCGAATCGAGGGAGCTGGAGGACGAGTCATATATTGGGACTGCCCGAGAGTCTTGGGAGTCTTAGCAATGTCACGGGCCATAGGAGACAATTATTTGAAACCATTCGTGAGTTGCGAGCCGGAGGTAACTATAACAGACCGGTCTGACGATGACTGCCTCATACTAGCGAGCGATGGCTTATGGGATGTAGTGCCAAACGAGACCGCCTGTTCCGTAGCGCGTATGTGTCTCCGAGGTGGTCGGAGACGGAGAGATAGTCCCGATCTGGAGATGGATTCGATTTCGGACAACGCGTGTACGGAAGCGTCTATGTTGTTGACGAAGCTAGCGTTGGCAAGACACAGTAGTGACAACGTGAGTGTTGTCGTGATTGATCTCAGAAGAAAGGGACACGTAACCGGACACTAATCTTGCTACCTTCACACTCCCATCGAAGAAATACAACCGCTTGAACTTTCTTTCCTTTTTCATATATTCTTTTTGTTGGGATCGATATTTTCTGTTTTGGTTGTTCTTGGAATGCGTGTGTGGTTTCTCTTACACACAAACGAATGTACAGATTAACTCGGCTTTCTGGAAAAAGGGTCATTAGGGTTTGATTAGTTTTTCTTCTCAGCCCTGGTCCCCGATTTGTAATGATTTATCGAATTAAAGAACATGCATGGAATCAAAAACAGTCTAAAGGAATTTTCACGAAGAGTCTTGTTTTGTATCTCCCATGGATTCTTCTAGTTTGTGTTTACATTTTGCCCTCACAATTTCAAATTACAAATATAAAAACATTTTCCTTTTTAAGAGAATTTTGTAACAATATTCCTAAA